GTATCCACATTACTGTACAAAGATTCAGGGAATCAGTAATCAAATGAGTCTAATAAACTTTCAGGTTTCAGTTCTTGACAACATGAAAATGACAATAGCTTCTCGCTGCCATTTGGCAAATCCTTCTGCAAAGGAACAAGTTTCTAGAATCTAAGCTACATCTATAAACTCAAACATTGATGCTGTAGTCTGCTTTCAGCTGCTGGTTTATGAAAAAACTAAAAGTCCTTTAATGACTAACATAGACTAACAGTAGTCATATTGCCTTAATCCAAAAGTCACCACTTCAGACATTGTTCTCTTGTTCCTTCACCACTGACTTTCATATGAAGGTAGTGCCCATATATAATGACCTCTTCCTCCCCCACGCCCTCAAAAACAAACAAACAAACAAAAAAAAAACAAAAAACACCACAACCCCACAACCATATGCTTAACATGAGAAGTTTTGGAAACACCTACACAACTCACTGGTTAAGCTCTGTAAGAGTTGGTGAGGCTTTGCTAGCATAACTCCCCAACCATACAGAAGCCAAGTAAGCTTTGCTAAGTTTCAATCTGCTAAGCTGCATTAACATGACGTGACTGCTTCTAAACTGTAATGCAAAACCTAGTTTCTCTTGGTAGATGACAGCTGATATTTCTCATCTTTTCCAGCAGAGAGAAAGATGATTTTTACATGATAAAAAAAAAAAAGTGGTAATGTTCTGGCCAGCATCAGAAAGCACAGGGCAGTTACTGCTCAGAGGGATGGAAGGAAGAGCAGTTCAGGTCACTCAAGTCAGGTCCTAACTCTAATTTAGCAAAGCAATGCACATGCCATAACTGCACCTGAGAGAACTGATTAAAAAAAGAAGTGTAACTACCTGAACCTGATACTGATGCAGAGCAGAGAGTGAGGCTGACACCATACAGGTGTTAGGCTGTATGGACCAGTGATATGTGTGCTTGGCCTACCCGGGAAATCCCTTTCTGTGAACACACAGCAATGCAGCCTTACTCAAAGTTTCTTACAGTCTCACACATGTTTGCAAACAAACCATCCCACTGGGATATTCAGGATTCTAGTACAGCTCAGCAACAGTAAAAAGGCCTCTTCCTCACTGATACTCCTTGAGCAATAGCCCAGAATTTTCATCATGTTTATAAAAATATTTGAATAAAAAATATGCAATATGCTATACCTATTAAATAGTACCTGCTAAATAGTAACTTTTTAAATATTTTACAGAATAAACAAACAGGTTAATAAAAGAAAATTAAAAAATATTCAAGTCCAATGTGCAGGGCTTGCACCAAGTCTAGCTTAACAAAATAAGCATCTTCCTTTGTTTTGCAAGCCATTGACCAAGTCTAGCTTAACAAAATAAGCATTTTCGTTTTGCAGGCCGTTTAAAAGGTTGCTGAATTAATCTTTTTAAATTGGCTCATTTTAATAATAATAAAAAATGTCTTAGAATGGCATAAAATAAACAATTACTGGGTGTGTGTGGGGGGGAGGGAACTGAAGCCCAGTTTACAAATGTACTCAGTGTACTCCTAAATATGCCATGGTAACATAATTGAGAGCAAAGAGACTGAAAGCTTGTGCTCTCAAACGGGAGCTTTCAGAAGGCAGTACTTAAAAAGTTACTGTTTTGGATCCATGGTGCATTCCTCTTCCCTCACGGTATCTGTGCATCAGGCCTAGTGCAGCCACCCGAGCCGTTCAGCCCACACGAAGGTGACGATTAATTGGGCTCGACCAGGTACGGGAAGAGCTCGCAGAGAGCCCCCATGGCACAACGGCCCTAATCTCCAAGAGAGAAATACAGTAAAGAAAATACCCTCTGCTAGGGCAGTTACTTGCAAACGAAGATCAAAACCAGGCAACTAAACCACCCCTAGCTCTCATTCTGAGGAACCCGAGTGACGCCGTTAGCACAGAGACCCTTTTCCTGGCCCCGGCCCGGACCGGCCCCCGCGCCCTCGCGCCACGTGCGGCCGGGCCGCGTGCGGTCCCGCGGGGCCCGGGCAGCCTCGGCGCGGTACCTCGGCGTGGCGGCCCCGAAGGAGAAGCCGCCGCCCCCGCCTCCTCCTCCCGTGCCGGCGGCGGCGGGCCCCCCCCCGGCCCCAGGGCCCCC